AAACAGACGAGGCTGGTCAAAGTCATGTGGCCGGCTGGAATGACCATCTCAAACCTCCTTACATGCTGAAGTCCTCGTGGAGAGAGAAATACTGTATAGCAAAGGCATGGTGACCTATTGCTGCTAAGGTGGAGGGTGATGGCATAGGCTCAGCCTGGCAGGACAGTTTATTCTGTTATTTTAACCCCTTCACGCACTGATTAGATTTACATGCTAAAATTATATGAGGCAGGAACCCTACAAGACTGACCAAGAGCCCAGCCAGCAGCACCGTGATCTGCACACTGGTGTTCCTTGTGGCTATGCTGTGGTGGAAGGAGGAATACAGTTGTTGGGCCTGAGAGACTTGTGGCACCGCTCCCCACTCTCCTCAGGAAGTAAGGATGGAACCTTGCTCAAGTAACTCCCTGGGTTTGCTTGAGGCTTCTCTCTCTCTCCCCCCCCCCCGTTAGCTTCCTGTTCTCTTTCTATTGAGTCTGCCAATGTTTCCTTTCACTCTGTCAACTTCCCTCACTTGCTGCAAGACAGACCCAAAAAAGAAAATAACAGAACACCTCTAGTCATCACATACAGCTCCCAAGTTAAAACAGTACAACGCATCATCAGAGATCTACAACCTCTCCTGGACAATGACAGTTCTCTTTCTCAAGCTCTGGGAGGAAGACCTTTCATTGCCTACAGACAGCCACCCAATCTTAAACAACTCCTAACCCACAATAATACTACAACCAGACCTAACACGGACACTGGCACCAGAGCCTGCAATAAACCCAGATGCCAACTTTGCTGCCACATACACCCGGACAACACCATTACTGGCCCCAACAACATCACACATACCATCTCGGGACTGTTTAATTGCTCATCGTCTAACATTGTGTATGCCATCAAATGCCAACAGTGTCCTTCAGCTCTCTATATTGGACAAACAGGCCAAACCTTACGGCAAAGAATAAACGGACACAAATCTGACATCAAGAATCACAAGACAGAGAAACCAGTAGGAGAACACTTCAACCTCCCAGGACATTCTGTACAAGATTTCAAAGTAGCTGTTTTACTACAAAGGAATTTCAGAAATAGACTGGAAAGAGAAGCTGCTGAATTGCAACTCATTACCAAACTTAAAACCATGGAGAGACCTGGTCTGAACAAAGACATTGGATTCTTATCTCATTATACATGACAAAGCCATTTTTCACCTTCTCACCCCTTGCTTTTTCCTGTAAGACCTATTGCAGTCGTTAAGAGTCGTCAACAGGCTCATCTCAACTATCTGCCAATCACCCATTACCACCACCCTTCTGAGTAATACCCCTCCCCACCTTCTCACTATATAGAAGGATCTGGCAACTTCTGTTTCAGTGTATCTGAAGAAGTGTGCATGCACACGAAAGCTCATACCAAGAACTAACTTAGTTGGTCTTTAAGGTGCTACTGGAAGGAATTTTTTTGTTTGACTATGGCAGACCAACACGGCTACCTATCTGTAACTTCCCTCACCTGCTCAACTATTCCCTCATAGCCACTTCCAACAGAAGCCCCTTTGGGAAGAACTTCTTCACAGTGGATTCTGCTTCTCTATTGGTGGTTCCGTGAGGCTCCCAGCATGTACTTGCCTGCTTGTCTAAAATAAATACTACTTCTCATAGGCTGGCCAGACATCAAGAAAATTCCTGACATGTCCTGGTTTTGGGGGGTAAAAATGGCATCAGGGGGAATTTTGCCAAACTGGCAAAATGTCAGGGAAACCAGGCTGTATGGCAATGCGCTGGAAAAAGCAGTGGAAACAGCTCCAAAATCACTATGGGGGGTGGGAGGACGTTTCCCACCAAAAGCTCAACTTTGGGGGTGTCAGGAATTTTACTTTTTGAAATATGGCAACCCTAACTTCTCACCGGAGAAAAATTAGACCAGTGGGTATAATTGATAGGTATGAGAGGATCCTAGGCACTGCAGTTATAATTAAACACTGTTTATGTTAGTAATAGGAATACTATTATTATTACTTATTAAATTTGTATAATGCCCTTCATTCAAAGATCGCAGGATGGTTCAGAACATAAAAATACAAAATGAGAACACAAAATACGTTATAAAAACAAGAAAAAGAACAAAAACAAACCTTTCTCCCCCACAAAAAAGCCACAGTCCTTCAAAAGAGTAATGTTGATTCAATTAAGAGTTGTAGGCATTTTGAAAGATGTTCTACTTGAAACTAAGTTCTTAGGCACAAGTTTATGCTGTATAATAGAGAACAAAGCTTTAAACTAAGGCAAGCTAGTTAATTGATATAATAGAGAATAACGTGAATAAAATAGAATAAGGAGAGCTGAATGAAAACTTGTCTTGTTATGTTTTGATTACTTGTATAACCAGTATGAAAATGTTCCCTCCACTATGCTGGTTTGTTTTTATTTAAATTATCATTTTATCTGCCCTTTCAGTTGGAAGAACATATCTTGCAAGAGCTTTTGCGTTCCCAATAGATTGGGGGTGGGAAACCTGTTTTGCCGGGCTGGGCTGCACTGCCTCTTGGGTGGATGGATGGAGAACTGGGGGGGGGGGGGCATTTGGCCTGGTTGGGATAGATCATATTGTATTGCCCCACCAACTTATGTTTCCAGTCCTGCCCACTTTTAGCTCTGGCCCCGCCCACTATGGTGTGGATCCCCTGGAACATTTCCCATTGTGCAATGCGGCCCTCAGCCTGATAAAGATTCCCCTCCCCTGTTGTAGGAAATGCTATATCCCGCAAGGCAGTGGAGGTTTAAGATCAGAGTTTTCCCTTTCCTGCTGCCTTGTGGGATGTCTTCAGGAGAAGAAAAGGCTAAGGAGTAAACCCTGCACAGATCCAGAGTGGAGTGTGTAAGGCAGGTGGGTGGTGCTTTGTACGCCTCCCTCGGGCAACGCTGGTGCCAGGTGTATTCCTTTGCTTCCTTTTGGACGGCATCAGCGAGGCTGAGAGGCTGAGCGTCTTGCCAGCTGGGTAACCCGGGACCTCCATACACCAGTGGCGTAGCGTGGGTCGTCAGCACCCGGGGCAAGGCAAGTATTTTGCACCCCCTAACCCATGGATTTTAGTAGGGGCAGAGAGCTGAGAGTGCCAGCACGCGCCCCCCCAGATGTTTGTGCCTGGTGCGGCCGGCCCCCCCTGCACTCCCCACGCTACGCCACTGCATACACACAGCTCAGGCTTGTGCCCCAGGGAGGTCACTTCAGTGCTGCAGACACACTAAAGCAAGGCAGGAGGCTGTGTTATTTGATGTCTGCAGTCCTTATGTTAAGAGTTTCCCCCCAGATTCAATTTGGTGGCTGAAGCTGAAAGCATTCTCCAGGTGGCTGCCAGCTCATGGGATTCCAGCGTGGCAGCAGCAGTAGTTACTACTAGTTCTTTTCTGAATCCCTTATCCCAGACAGAGAGGAAGCATTTGTTTCTTGTTGTGGCCCCTGCTCTGACAGGGCTGAGCCACTCTGTTGTGCCTGCTCTTCACTATGGCATCTTCTGGGTAGAGAGCTACATTCTTATGCAGAAGATGGGCAGAGTGCAAGGGAAGGTAGCAGTGCTTCTTAAGTCTCTGATTTGAATAATAAAATTGTAGAGTTGGAAGGGACCCCAAGGGTCATCTAGTCCAACCCCCTGCAATGCAGGTATCTTTTATCCAGTGTGGGGCTCAAACCCACAACCCTGAGATTAAGAGTCTCGGGATCTGCTGACTGAGCTATCTCAGTACCTTCAAGAATGAGGGAAGAAGCAAAGCCCAATGCCTGCTTTCTATGAAACTCCTACACTCTGGAGTTCTCACACACACACACACACACACACACGGCATCATCACAGTTTGAGAACTATTCTAGCCAAGCAAAAGCAAAAGCACGCTGTGGCGGGAGCATGGCCTGGGAGACTCAGCTTTGCAGGCCAAAAATGTTTGGTGCTGGTGATATGGTCAGAATGGTTGCTGCTGACATTTGACTCCTCTAGAAGCAGGTGTGTTGTGATTCCTGGCTAAGTGGGGGCTTCAAGATCTTCTCTGTGCAAATTTCAGGTTATCGGGCCATGCCACAGATGTCTGATTATCTGCATTGATCAAAAAACTGGAGAACGGAACAAGGAATTTCTTCAGACTCTGGCTGCCACCAAAGACAAAAAAGTCAGTATACAAATACTTTTTTCAAAAAAATGTGCCATTTTCCCTTACAGGGAAGGCTTACAGTTAAAATAAGAACAGCTGAAAACAGAGAGAATAAAGAATAATTTAAATACAATTAAACATTAATAGAATTAATAATAACAACTATGTATGTATATGTGTGTGTGTATAGAGAAACAGACAGATAGAAGATCTATTAAAAACATACAGACAATTGCAACAAAAATAGCACAGCGTCAGCCCTTTCCTTAAAAGTGGTCAGTTCCCAAAAGCCTGTTGGAAGAAGGTTTTCACCTGCCAGTAGAAGAACAACAAGGAGGGAGCTGGTCTAACTTCTCCAGGGAGGGAGTTCCAAAGTTGTCTGGGAGCAGCCACCACCAAGAAGGCCCTCTCCCACATGCCCACCAAGTGTGCCGGGGGGGGGGGGATCAAGAGGAGGGCCTTCCTTGAAGATCTCAAGACCCAGGCAGATTCGTATGAGGGAATATACAAATGTGAATGAGCTGCTCAGTGGAGCTTTGCACCCACTTCCACAAAACCTTTTGGTTTTAAAAAAAGGGGAGAAAGCAGAAAGCAAGGCAAGCTTTCATTTGCCTTCCTTTTTTTTTTTTTTTTTTTGCCCCGTCAAACCCTGAAAGATCTGTAAGTATAATAAACGTTAAGCTTAATTTTTAACAGAGCATCATGCCTCCTTTCCTGTCTACATGGGGGGGGTTCTTAAAAGTGTTTACCCAGTGATAACTATAGAAAGGCCAAATGCCACCCCACTAAAAAACAAACAGGTCAGAAATTGTCCCACAGTACAGTAGGATGCAAGCTAAGGAGCCAAAGTCTGGGTAACTTCCACAGCAAATACTACAGTGCTTCCTCGGAATCTTCGCATAAATTAAGGCTGAATTTAAGCAAGAAAAATGAACATGGTTCTGAACATCATCTTAAATAACTCGACCATTCTTTCTGTTCATTGCACTGCTTATAGTCCATATACTTATAGGAAATTAGTTTGAGCATCCAGAGGCATTGCAGTTGTTACTGTTCCATCTGTTGGGTATTTGACCTTACTTACAAATGTTTTCCCCCTCAGACTAAGTTTGGAATATACCTGATGAATCATGCTGAGATGCAGGTCTCCCATCCAGATACATTGTCAGTGGGATCGCCAGTGTTTGCAGCGGTGAAGAAGATTATCGCATGTTGAGCATCGTCTGAAGAGCAAACAGGTGGAGGAATCCTCAGCTAAACCTGCACATGGGACGGTCTTGCAGATTATTCATATGTGTTCTCAACAGCAATATGATCTTCTCCAATATTATGAGTAAAAGGTCAATCACCTTAAACATTCAGAAATGACATGTCGCAGCTAATCAGGTGGATCAATTTTTGCAACTCTATATCATTTGATCATTTGATTTCTTTTTTCCATTCAGGTTCACGAGGGACTTGTTGCAGGGCAGTGATGCTGGCTAGGAAATTTAATGTCCTCAAAATGCCACTTCACAAGTTAGATCGATAGTTAATAACCTCAAATAGTCAGCTGATTTAAATTAAGTATGGTGTGTGTGTGTGTGTGTGTGTGTGTGTGTGTGTGTGTGTGTGTGTGCAGTGTGGGGGGGGGAGAGAAGAAATAGTGCTTTAGGCAAGAAACAGAGATAGCTGGCTGGAAGTGAAGCACCTTGGGATTCAAAGGCTTTAACGTGGATAGCAAATTTGCTGCCTTGCTGCAGTGCCTGCTGTGAGCTTCCACTTATGCAAGTAGCACCTGCAACAAAGGACTCATCCAGACTTCTGCTTCTTTGCAAATTATTTTTATTGATCTTCAACAAATTGCCACCAAATTAATACAAGTTTAAAAGCTGATTTCCCACCCTCCCCCAAAGGTCCCCTCTATTTTCCTCCCTTCTTTGCTGCTCCCAATAAAATAACTTTTACAACTATATTTTCAAAGTCCACTCATCCCTTCTCCCTACACATCATCTGCTATGGCTTTTATACATTGTTATAATCTGTCCTCAAAATAGTCGAATAGAGTAAATCCTCTTTTATCTATCTATAATAGTCATTAATCGGTTTTGAAACATTTCCCTCTGATGCCTCTTGAGTAGCACTTTGCCTGAGAAAAACAGGTCCTGCTTCTTCCCAGAGAACACACACATAGTCCTCCCTAACATGGCCTTGAACATTGCTGTCTCACATCTGGCCCCAGTAATAAACAGAGTGAAAAGGAACCCCCTAGAATTTTTTTGTATAACTATATAATATACATCCCCCCTCTCACACTGCCAATCTCCCAGCATCCCCCATCCCTTGCATTTCGCCAGTTTTAATCCTCAATTTTACATACAATCAGCTCATAATTAATTAATTAATTAATAAACATAATCCGAATCTCTTCTTATTTCCAACTTCAAGCTTTGGGGCTGATGTAATCCCACTTTCTGGTTTTCCCCAGCTTTTGGTCGCTCACCCAGCAGCTGGGCTTTAGCACCAAATATAAGCCTGAATGGAGGGGAAATTGGCCTGGTTTGTGAGCATCTTAAAAAGCATGTGTTAATTATGAGGAGGTGCCATGAGTTTATCCAGAATAGATCATTCCAAACCAACCTTATCTCCTTTTTTGAAACCTTTACTACTTTAGTCCTGTGCCATTTCTTTCCTATCTCTGTCTTGCTTGACCTTCATGCACACACTGGCCCGTTTTGCTCTTCTTGCTCATGGCAAGGCTTCACCACCACAAACATAAAACAGTACAAGATTGTGTCTTTGCAGCCCAAGCCTACAGTCTCTGCAATCCAGTGCTTGCTAGTTCCACTACATTCAGTGAGGCTTGATCCCTGCTTAGTTTGCATAGGAGTGCAGCCTGCATAGCAGTGTAGAAAGTTAATTACCTAATTTGTGGACTGGCACCAGATTTCCCCTTGTGCATAAAGATTGGTTGTGACACTTCACTTGAGTGGCACATTTGACCAGGGTCAGCCCAGTGGCAAGGCAAGGTGAGCCAAGCACCACAGGCATCAAGATCACACACACACACACACACACACACACACACACACACACACCGTGATTTCTGAAGTAGATCTTCACTGAGCCCTTATTCACTGGTGGGGATGGAAATGCTGTTTTGTGGTTCACCTCAGGTGCCAAAATGTCTTGGACCAGCCCAGAATCTGACCCAATGGAATAGTGAAATGGAATGCAGAGATTTACATAGCTACAGCCTAGATGGAATGCTGAAAAAATGCCAAGTGGTAAATTGAGCCACACTTTTTATTCAAATGAATAACTGTATTTGTGCACTGTCTACTTAATCAAAATAATTTTGCGGTACATCAATCCTGACAATAAATGCTTTGCAGATATTATCCAAATATTTTTGAAGCTAAATTATTTGTCTGATATTTGAGATCTATATTTGATATCATGGGATACTTGATTCCAATATTTTATATTTAATAATATTTAATAATATTTGATATGAGATATGATATATTAGTATCTGAAAGCATTTTATGGAAGACATGAAATAGACATGAAATAGGACTGTTATTTTTTGTAATACCAGCCAAAACAATCAAGAGAATGTAAACAAATCCAAAGAACTCAATTTGGAGGGGAAATGTCTCTCAGGGCAAACTATTCTGTGTTAGAATTTGCACTCATCTTTCTGAAAAGCAGGTTGAAAATATTTGCCAAATTTCAAATATTAGAAAATATTTGTTTCAGCTAAAATATATAATTTGTTTTTCTATGAGCTCATTTAATTAAACTGACATCTCTTACACTTTTTGCCGAGTGGTTTGTCTGTCTGTTCTCTATTGGGGGCCTTTGAGATATTGTCACCCAATCTGTGAACACAAAGCAGTTGGTTTTCCTCTGTGACGACGTTTTGGATTGAGAAGGTGGACTGAATTGCTCCAGACTGTGCCAATTTGGACATCTTTGGATATATCACTGCCCATTTGGCATGGTGGTTCCTGAGACAGGAGGGCAAGCAGACCTGGCATGGCAGCTGAGTGCACAGAGGAGCAGCTCGGGAGCCACCCGCCAAAGGCGCAGGCTTGCTGGCCGCAGGACTCTTCCTCACAGGGAACACACTGATGAAGCAGTACCCTGCAGGACTGGCCCCTCCTGCTTTCTGAAGTGTTGTCAGGAGGGCAGGAAATGAGATATTTGCAGGAAGGTTCCTGAGATCAAGGAACAGGTTTTCATCTGTTCCATTGGTTTAAGTCCTCCCCTCCAGAGCAGACAAACACAAGCATGTTCCATCTTCCATGTGACAGCTGTTTAGATATTTGAAGACGGCTATCATATCTCCTCTCAGTCGCTCCCACAATTACTCCTCCTAAGGCTTGGTTTCCACACCCTTGATCATTTTGGTTGCTCTCTGCACACACTCCAGCTTCTCAACATCCTTCTTAAATTGTGGTGCCCAGAATCGGACACAGCATTCCAGTTTGGTCTTACCAAGGCAGAATAGAGTGGGACTATGACTTCCCTTGACCTGGACACTGGACTTCCATTGATACAGCCTAGAATAGCATTAGCTTTTTTGCTGCTGCTGCTGCATCACACTTGGCTCCTATTAAGCTTGTGGTCCACCAAGACCCCCAGATCCCTTTCACATGTACTGCTAGTAAGCCAAGTATTCCCCATCCTACATTTGTGCATCTGGTTCTTCCTGCCTAAGTGCAGAACCTGACATTTGTCCATATTGAAATTCACTTGTGCCAGTTCTCCAATCTTTTAAGGTCATTTTGAATTCTGATTCTGTCTTCTGCAGCATTAGCTCCCCCTCCCAGTTTGGTGTCATCTGCAAATTGGATGAGCATCCCCTCAATTCCTTCACCCAAGTCATTTATAAAGATGTTGAGCAACAATGGGCCCAAGACAGAACCCTGTGGCATCCCAAGATGACAAGGAACCATGAATGGGTACTCTTTGGGTTCGGTCAAATCCACTTAACTGTTCATTTTACCAGCTTCCTTGCAAGAATATCATGGGAGATTTTCTCAAAAGCCTTACTGAAATCAGTATACACTATGTCCACAACATTCCCCTGATCCACCAAGCTTGTAACTTCATCAAAAAATGAAATGAGGTTTGTTGGGCAAGACTTATTTTTCTAAGTGCTCACAGACCAGCTGTTGAATAATCTGTTCTATGACCTTTCCTGGTATAGTGGTACCTCAGGTTAAGTACTTAATTCGTTCCGGAGGTCTGTTCTTAACCTGAAACTGTTCTTAACCCGAAGCACCACTTTAGCTAATGGGGTCTCCTGCTGCCACCACGCCACTGGAGTACGATTTCTGTTCTCATTCTGAAGCAAAGTTCTTAACCCAAGGTACTATTTCTGGGTTAGCAGAGTCTGTAACCTGAAGCGTATGTAACCTGAAGCATATGTAACCCGAGGTACCACTGTATTGATGTCAAGCTCAGCGGTATCTGATGATTGTGTTGTTTTGGTACTAGTGGTTAGATGCAGCTGCTAGCTGAATGTTTCATGGGACACCTTCTGTGACATCACAATGTGGCTGTCAAATGACCTGCTCTAGTCTTTCTTTAGTGGTTTGGCCAGGTGCACCATATTGCCCTCCTTTGGACTCTCCCCTCTGATATTTCCATGAATCTTTGTGATTCTGCCAGGCTACTGTCTTGTACCATCTTTTCTCTCACCTCTTTCCCAATTTGAAGCTTAAAGAATCCCTGCTCCAGGAACCTACAATATTCTGAGAAGTGGCTTCTCACTGGAAAGATCCAAAGCACGAAACAACCATTTCTATTGGTGTGTTCTGGGTTGCACCAAGAAGGCCTTGGGTGTGAGAGAGACAAATATTTCACAGAAAGATAAGAGTGTGGGGTTGACCTTTTGAAATATTTAAATGTTATCCTCTGTGAAGGAAATGTTTTCATTTTTTGTGTTTTAACTCCAGCCCCCAGACCTTTGTGGGCAAAATACACTGCGATACACTTTCTGTTGCAAAATTTACACAGAAGTAGACCTACAGCTTATTGCTTCTAGGGCACTGACACCTGCACAACAGGAAAGAGTGCCCCCAAATGTCAGAGAATTAACATTAACTGTTTGGGCTGAAATAAAATAACAAGAAAACCCAACTCTACAATTCACCAGATGCTTTCTAGGTTACAACAATGTGAAATACAGCATTAAAAATTACAGCCACAACCTGAGTGGGTCTATATGCTTTCCTCATATGAAGTTGAATGAAATTGTCAGATGCGCTGCTTTGGGGAGGAATCTGCACAGCTTTGAGAACAGAGAACAGGGAGAATGTGGTTGTGTCCCAATCAATGTAATGCAAAAGTGGGGGCGGGGGTCAACAAAAGCTGACCCAGGGGTACAGAAATGCCCAGACAGTGTTCCTTTTGCAGTAAAAAAAGATGTACCATATTGGCCCGAATATAAGCCTCACTTTTTCCCCAAATTCCGACTGTGAGAAGTTAAAATGCGGCTTATATTCGCGACCTTACGATATGCAGCCAGGAGCGCGGGGCAAACCGTCCCCCGTCCTCTCCCCCAAGGCCGGGAAGGGAAAGAGCGAGGAAGGGAACAGGATGCCGGTAACGCAGCATGGCTCCCCCCCCCCTGCCCCCAGCAAAGATTGATCCAGAGAAGCAGACTTCTGACACCATATTCTTGGTTTGGTTTAGGGACATTTTTTTAGTCCCAGGTTACGTTGGGATAGGAAAAACCACCCCTAGAGACACTCCCACCCCTAGGGACAATTTGGTTCATTTTAAAATAATTGTGGTTTTAATAAGGTATTATCCTGATTCTTTTTAGATTATGAATTTTTATTCCAAGAGTTAAATGAAGACAAAACATTAAAGTCTCACACTGAATATAATGTATCTGCATAAAAGACTTTATATTAATTTTTATTAAGTATTTTCTTGGGTTACAAAGGGATTTTATAATCGGAAAATGGAGACAATGTATTTACTTTGTAACCCAAGAAAATCTTTAATAAAAACAATTTTTCCTCATTTTGCCACTAGATGGCAAACTTCCTCTTTCTGATCTATCTCTCTGTGTTCAAAAAGAAATGTAATCTCCTCTGGCACTGGAAAACAAGCAAGCAAACACCCCTTTGGAGAGGTTAGACTACTTTAAAGCCCCTAGTCCTATTTGTAATTGGACAAGTCAGGGGCTCTTCTCTTATCATGCCTGCCATTTTCAGACCAATTCCCCACGAAACAAATCTCCGGGGGGCACTGGGATGCCCACTTCACCCACCTCTGCCCAAAGGAGTTTGGTTTCCTAAGAGCAGCGAAAGACAGGAGGACTCGCCCTCGGGCTCCGAACAAGGCTCAATTCCCTGGGGAGCGGCGGGTTTCCCGCAGGAGAAAGCGATGGGAACAGAAAAAGAGCCTCTCGGACCCGCGACCAGAAATCGCGGAAGAAGCGGACCTGAGGGGGAACCCTTTGTGTTGGCGAAGCAGGCTTGGGACTCGCGACAGTCGTTTCTTTAAAAAAGCAGCCTTTTAAATGCATTATAGCACTGTGACACCAGGCGGCGCTTTTTTTGGCAACGTGGTTTCCCATTATGAGGTTTTCCTGGTGTCCCTGGATCCAGCCTCGGACTTTGCGCCTGAGTTGCGCAGCCTCCCGCCAAAGCTCTTGGGACCAAAGCAGGCTGTTTTCCAAAGCACCAAAAAGGGGATCCAAACCAAATCCTGTGGCCGCCCCTGATGTCTGACACTGCCGGTTCCATCCCCATGTCAATTTAAGCTCTTGTTTGTCATTCTGCTAGTTAATTACAGCTTATTAAAGATACTCATCCATTACATTTATTTATATGTTTTGTCGAAAAGGATTAGTATGTTACATATACCAATAAAATACAGTAAAAACAAACGCAGCCTTTGACAGGCAACCCAGCTGAATCCTGCACAGTGTTTACTCTTACCAGGGAATTTCCCTATGACCATCCCTCTCTCTCTCTCTCTCTCTCTCTCTCTCTCCCCCCCCCCCCCAATGACATTTCGCTTTGTTATTGCCAGGTATTTCTTTAATACTAACACAGAAAGGTGGAACTGGGAACTTCTCAACTGGGGAAACTCAGCCAGAGTCTTTAAGGATTAATAAGGTGTTGGTCAGGCACTCCCTATCTACACTAAAGGAATTCAGAATTTCAGGACAGGAAGAGTTGCATCATAGGATACTGAGGTAACTAGACAGTATTCTCTTGGAGACTCTGGTCTATCACCTTTGAGGAATCCTGGAGAGCGAGTGTGGTGCCACTGTGTGGAGATGTCACGGAAAACAACATCATGGTGAAGTTGTGTAGATGCGCATGACATCTGGACAGAGGAGGAGCCAATTCACTGCTGCTAATATAGAGGGATAGCCAGCCTCATATAACCAACAGGCCTAAATCTACTTAATGCATGAAGGGAAGGAAGGAACTAAGTAATCAAGATTTGTTCTCCCTCAGTCTACATCTGAATCTAGATCCAGCCTATATACCAATTATTTGGTATGTTATTTACCTATATACCAATAATTTAGGAACTTTCAGAACAGAACTTAACTTTTTTTTGCCTACGCAACACATGAATCCAGCCTTTAGGGAGTTTCTAAGTAAACCATTTTTAACTTACCAAACATGTAAGTTTCTATGCTAAGGGAACTGGGGAATTTTGGAAGGAATGTAGAAGGGCATATTTTAAAGAGAACAGTCTATATTTCCATGTTTTGCTGCATATTATGTGATTTTAAATCTCTGCTAGGGTTCTTTCTCCAGAGTACTTGCCCCAGGATTT